TTCCCTTGAAATATGAATTTGATTTTGGCAGTTTTTATAAAATATAGAATCCGGTCCTGCCGGAAAAGTAAGTTTAATATGGTATTTACGATATAAAATGAGGGTCGGTAATTCATGGGGGGGGGGCTACCATATATATAATTCTAGATAAATAGAATAAATTATGAATTTATATTGATCTAGTTTATATGATTTTTTTGAGAATATGAAAAATTCTTAATTTCTTCTGAAATATTTATTCTATCTACCATATTAAATTATTATTTTATATAAAAAAAAAATCATAATTTATTTTGAATATATATATTTAAATTTTCATTATTCATCATATTTTTAAATCTTGAAGAATTTAAATATTTAAAATATAATGAAATATCATTTTTCGAATTTCATAAATAGAAATAATCAATTAATATATTCTATAATGATTCTAAGAATATTAGAAGTATCTTTTAATTCTAATTAAAAATATTCGAATTCGAATATTAATATTCAATATTCTATATGAAACAGCATCATTTAATTTTATGAAAATTTTTTATATTTTTTTCAAATTTATCTTATATATCGAATCTATTAAATAAATGTATTTCTATAAATTAAACCAAAATTTCTTTTTAATATATATTGAGAAATAATCAAAATAGAAAGAGCCAAAAATAAAATAAATATATATTAAAAAATATTCAAATATTCAATGCTATAAAATAATTCTTTCTTATATCTTGAATATGAGAGATTAGCAGAATATGAAAAAAAATCGAATTTATATAATAAATATTAGATTTCAATATTATAAAAGAAATATATTTTTCTATATATAAATTAGCAGAATTTATGTAAAAAATAAAGATATAGAAAAATAATCAGAAACGAATAATCTATATATTTCTTTATCCAAAATATAATTTTTCTCATATCCTTATTTTTCTAATTTATCTCCTAATCATCTCCCATCAAAATTTATGATCTAAATCTCTTCATCTTTCGTTCTCCATCCCCATTTTTCATGAATCCCTATATCCTTTACCCTTCCCCCAATCTTTTATTATTCCTTACGATTACGCCTCATCGTCCTCCATCCTACATTCTCCACTCCTTCATTTCTTCTATCACACTCCCCTCACCCTCACCATTGAAGACGCTTCCCGTTCCTTACGAATCCATACAAGGTACACACCCACCCACCTCTCGCCCTCCACTCCCTACACCCTACGATCTACTCCCCATTCCGCACTCCTCACTCCCTTATTCCTCCCACCACACTCCCCACAAGATACTCCCCATTCCCTACACACCCACCCACCCCTCGCCCGCCACTCCCTACGACCTACGCCCCCTCGCCCACAATTCCGCACTCCCATTCCCTCATTTCTCTTACCACACTCCCCTCACACCCTCTCCACCACTCTAGGACGCTCCCCATTACACTCACCCACCCGCCCACCCAAACTCGCCCACGAGATTCCCCACAAATACATGCCCTCAACCTCCACGACACTCCCCTCTGCAACCCCTCGCCCACTCCGCGACACTCCCCACCACACACGCCCCCGCCGGCAACTTACATTTCCACGTTTCGGCTTGTAGATAGGAAGTGTGGTCGGTCCAAAATTTCGACGTGAAAATGCTATGAGCCCAGGCATATTCGATTGGTGCGAGGATTGGTCCGGTGATTCCCCAAGATTCCAGACATATCCAATAAAAAAAATCCAATAAGAATACCCTGTAGAGCCTTCACGAAAGACCAAAAGGCCCAGAAAACGAGAGAGATCATGCGAAGAGCTTACTACATATCCAATTAATTTCATGCAAATATAGAAATATATGGTCGAAAATTCCCTAGCCTTTATAATTCCCTAATTCCCTGGATAGATACAAAACTTACTTATATTATCCGAAGAGAAATAATAAAATTAAAAATACCAATAAAAGAGTGAGATATTTTAGATCATATATGTAAAAACCAGATAGTCCCAGAAAAATATTCTAATTATTAAGAACGAAATTTTCTAGAAAATTAAAATCCATATTCGAGATTCAATGAATTTAGAAAATCAAGAAAAGTTTAGAAATAGCTACTATATTAGATGCTATAGATAAAGTTAGTTTAAATTTTTCTTAGCGAAAAATATCAATTATTTTTTGATAAGTCTATATAATTTTATATTCGCCTTGTTCCTATACTAAACAAATTATTTTGGAAGAGAGTTTAATAGAATGTATATTTTTATATGTATATATATATATATTAAATAAGATTTCAGATTTCTTCATAATTCTTTAAGAACTCAAATTTATGTATGTATAAAATCTATATTTTAATTATCTCATTCTTATTCATGCTTTATTTTTTATCTACTTACTTCGAAGATATAAGAGAAGTTTTTTTAGATATTTATGTTATTACTTTTTGTTTTATCTCTTACTATAAGTTGTATATTTTTTAACGTATGATAAGATTATCTCATTTATAATGAATTCGATTTTCAAATGTCTGGTAATCTCAGCATACAACTCTGCAACGAGGGGCGTGTGGTGAGCATGGATCAAGCGACCTTGGTAATCAGCAACGCAACAATAAGCCTTGCCAGTTTTGTTGAGCTTGGTCTCTGACGGGCGCTGCCTGAATAGCCAAGAGCGTCTTGCACCCCCGAGCATGCGCAAGGAAACATTGTGGCTCTGGCCTTCTGCGTTCATTACCGGACCTGTCGCCAGGCCGCCAGGGCCAGGTCAAGCTCCAAAATGTTCGCAGTCTGAGCAGTCTGGCCTTCGCTTCAAGGCCTTCCAGTGGCCTCGAGGATCTGAGTGCTTGCCCCTGGGCAAAATGCAAGCGCTGTTCATCTGGAAGCCTTGGTCCACTGGAGTTCTCTGTCTCCCTTCGGTCTAACGCAATTCTGCAGCAAATGAGCAGTCTTCCCTCAGCTTAAGAAGTCGACCGTTCAGCATCGCACCCAGGCAGGTGGCATCGCAGCCCACGAAACGCAGCGCAAGTCTGAGATGCGGGAGGAGTTCCCGTTGTCTTTTATGCAGCTTCCGAAATCTGAGATCGGATCCCAGCTCGTCGCCGATCACTGTGATTGCCAAAGCTGCCGTGCACAGTCAAGTCCTCGCCGTGAGTATTTTCTGTGTCAACCAGCCCAACAGCTCAAAAACACAGAACAACTCTGAAGACAGCCGAAGCTGGTCAAGACAGTTACGCAATTGAGCCCGGTGCACTATGCAACGACGCTTCTCCGGCATGTAGCCTTTGCGGAACCTGGTACTGCCATGCTGGTAGAAGTGAGTCAACATCAACGAGAGAGGGAGAGAGAGATGCGTGGATATTCTGAAATGCTCATAAGTTTCAGCCCGGCACAGCTTCATGGGTTCGGTTGAGATGTTGTATCTACATCCCACGCTCTTTTGATCCCCATTCTGCTCCCCCAATCTCGTCTGGGATGTTGGATAGGTCCAATCATAGCACCCTATCACAAGTCGGAGCGACGAGACTAGATTCACGATCGGTACAACTGCATTTTCAACCTCAAAGCTTAATTAATGCAAAGACCCACACCACGAACATCTCAAAACTGTCAATGCCCTTTCCGAAGCCGCCTCACCCCAAGAACTTGAAGCCCAAAATGGGAACAGATAGAGAGAGACAAAGAGAAGTCAACACACGGTGCATCCAATGTCGATTGAAGGCCACCTGCGCACCCAGGAGCTCTACATCCGGGATCTCCTGTAGAAGGCACATGCACCATGTATCGGTTCAGTCATGCCTTAAGCGAAGCATCTGCATCTGCCTGCGTCAGCAGGTGGTGGGTGGTATTTGTTGCCTTCCATGGCAATCGTCCAAAGCCTCATGTGCGCATGTATACACATACACTCTCAGTAACTCCAAAGATCTAGTGGCTTGTTGCAACCTGCACCATTTCAGACTCAAGCTGCATGAATGCTAAGTGCATTCTGACATCCCATACTGAATTCGTGCACTCATCGTGAGGCATGAAGGAGACCTGATCTTAAGGTACACTACCGACGATGCCCCATGCACTCAATCTGAGACAGGGGAGACTCTCCCACAGGTTCGAGTGTCTGCTTAAGAGTTAAAACCATCACAAACACTCCGCCATAAGCTCCATGCGGTGACTGCCCTCTATGAAATGAACGGCCGCATTGGACTCGTCCACGTCATCGAAAGCGATCCACAAGGTCACCGCCCGCGACCTGATTGTTTGGCTCGCACAGCGTCTCCCATACTAGCTACGGCCAGGCTTCCCGCTCCGACAAAGGCCAGAAGCCCGCATCCTGCCAAGCAATTTCAGCGGGCAGCCTTGCTGTCCACGCTTCGGTGGCAAGACTCTCACGCGGCCAAAGGATTGCGTTTCGTCCAAAGAACGAGAACGTCTAACTAAGGCACATGTCATCCAAGAAGGATGGGAGGCTCCAAGGCTCTAGGCTCTGAAAGCTCACGAAAGTGCCTGTGCTTGAAAATCCTCCTGAAACTACTGGTCGCCGAGTAAAGAGCAGCCTTTGCCTTTTTCAGGACTTACATTCTTCGTCTGGGTGAGCAGAAAACCCGGTTTGGACTTGAACTCGAAACGGTTCGCTGGCGCTTCTGGAGGAGTTCGAAGTCCAGGCATGAACACCAGGAGCTGACAGTCATCACCACGTATGACTTTCCATGCTGTTTCACCGATCTGCATGCAGACTGAACAACTTCTCCAGTGCCCTGTTTGAGCGTGCTCAGCCTTTTTTCCGAATCCTATCTGAGCGTTTCCCCAGGGTGCGTCGGGGCTGTTGTCTTGGAGTCTTGGATTTGCTGCATTGTGGCTGGAAGTCCATCGAAATGGTCCACGACACCTGTGATGCGTATACGTAGATGCCAGATAACAAAACGACCTGAGCGCTGTAGGACTCCAAAACCCTTCCGTGCAAACCTTTCGATACGCTCTGTGGCTAAAAGGCATGGGAATATTTCGGAGCGACTAGATATGGTTTCCTGGGCAGGTCCTTTTTAAACCCTTCCACAAGTCGCAAACAACCTTTCTGATCTACGGGCACCAACTATTCCGGGAAAGTGGTGCAACCTTTGGCAGCACAGCCCTGAGGCACAAACACTTGGGTTCTGCAGTCGGAGATTCAACGCTGGGCATTGCATGTTCCACTAGTATTACATAGCGGGGCTAGATATTGACCGACACGCCAACCTGAGAGCCAAGTCAAGGCTTCGCCAATCCCCACGCCGGATCTTAAGTCTTAGACTCAACACTTCGAGCTCGAAATCTGTTGTCCCAACCCAGACTGTAATCTCGTTTCGCAACGGCGGCTTGGCAAGTGTGCCTGAACCTACCGATTCGTTGCCGATTCAACCTTCCGCGGCCCTTCCACACAGCAAGACATCCCAGCGAGCTTCGTGTCTTTTCGCCTTGCTGCCCTGAACAGTTTGCATCTACTCTCTTCCATCAACAGACCAGCCCTCACACATTTAGTTTTTGGGCATGTGCCGCTGCTTTGTCATGTGGGTCTTAGAGCAAGCTGGCGGTTGAAAGCAGTTTCGCCGATTCCGTCAGAGCTTTACGTGCAACAGAACCTGATCTCCGGGAAGAGTTCGTACCTGATTAAATTCTTTGGGCCTGGTGCCACGGCTGGGAGGTCGGATCCCCGGGCAGCTTGCAAAAGAGGTGAGCGCTCCAGCAGCAGAATTGTGGCCTGGCAGGTCTTCATCTTCTCAGTATGATTATAAGTAGATTACAACATACCTTAACTTTAGCTGTCCACATTCAATACATGACAGATTCACCCCAGGATGTCCTGGCAGTCCCACGCAGAAACAAGATTGAGGCAGTCAAGATGTAAGGTGCCACGACGAGATCTCGGCCTGGACGATGGCCAAAACCCTGGGGCTGGTCGCCATCTTCTGCACCAAGGCCTGACAAGACCCCGTCAGTTGCTCTTGCACAGGCTGTACTCAGAGTGATTTTATGGCTCGAAACATCCCCTGGCCATGTGAACAGAAAACTCGCCGATGTTGCTGCTCCACTCATCTCAGAAAACTCGGAACCGCTGACTGCTGCTTCAAGGGGCCACACCCATACTGACAAGAACGCTCCGCACGCATGTTTTACTCGCTCGCCTCCACGCCAGTGAGTTACTCTGTGCCTGACCGACTAGAGGGTGCCTCCACGCCAGTGAGTGACTCTGTGCCTGACCGACTAGAGGGTGAGCTCGCTATGTACATCTCTGCCGAGGGGCTTTGCTGCGGCTTGGCATCCTCCCTGGGCTGAAATGAGAACCCGGATGTATTGAGGATCAGCTTGCCTCGCGTTTGAGCTATCAGGTTGGCAGCAGCATACAGCAACGCTCCAGCAATGCCCAGTCCGGCACCTAGTAGATAGGAAGATGAAAGCGCATGCTTGGTTCCGAAGATTTGATTGAGGGACCATTGAGGTAAAACTTTGACCTCGCCAAGAAGACCAACTGCCATGGCCGATGTTAGCCACGCCAACCAAGCAAGTGTGACATGAAGAACGGAAGTCAACACGCCGCTGGCCAGTATTGTCGCCACACCGGCCACAGGGTAGGCAGCCAGTGCTCTCCACCAAGGGTCTGGATTTTTCTGAAAAGACCAGAGTCCGCTCTCCAACACCATGGCTGAGACAAAAGCGGCAAACGAGGCCACCGCCAATTTCAGAACCGTGAACTCGACCAGGCTCGTTGTACCGCCCAGCCTGTTCCCTGGGTCAAAGAGGCCGGCCACACCCTTCCGAAGCGTTGAGATGCAGAGAGCTCCGATGAAGGGAGCCAAGAGGTTCAGGAACAGAGGCCAAAAGGGTGCATCGATGCCAGTTGCCAGGCCCAAGGCCACAATGATGTTACCGGCCAAGCTTACCAGGACGGCCATCACTTCCAGAACACCCGGTCGCTCCGAGTTGATCGTAACTGCCAGGGCCAAGACCCAGAGTAGCTCAGTTGCACCCAGGAGCACATGCGTAGAGTTATCCACCAGTGACAAGGCCACATTCGTGACTGCATACTTGAACCCGAAAGCCATGCCTGGTGGACTTGCGTACTTCAACTTGAAGCACAAGTGGGGCCCGAGAAGCCATGATGCTTGGCCTGACCTGTTGCTGGCGGTGCAGGCCATTGTGTACTGCGAGAGATGGACCATGCCAAGCAGGAGGCTTGCAGCAGCCAGCTGCATGTGCGCAGCGAAGCATGGGTATGGAAACTTGCCGAATCCAAAGCCACCATCAAAAACGCGCTTGGCATAGATGGGAATTAAGGAAACAAAAACACACCAAAGAAAGCAGGCAAGTGTCACCTGCAACACATACGCTCGGCTGCATCCGTCTGAGGGCATTGAACCCTCAACGGTCCGCGACTTGGTCACACACACACACCACTCTTGAGTTCCGGAAAATTGCAAATGGCAACAAGAGAAACTCCCAGTCAACAAACTTGCTAAAGCTTCAAGCTTCATGACATACAAAAGATTCATTTCGTGCGAAAAAACCCACCTGGTGCAGTGGGCGACTGAGGGTATGTGCTGCACGGAATCTGGACTCATCATCCTTAGGCAGAATAACGCTCAAGCATCAGCTCGATGTGCACTCCTGCAGCAAACCACCTCCCTGAGTCCGTGACGGGCGCCCTGTCCTTTAGCAAAGCTTGTAGGCAGTCTCTGCTTTGCACCATGATCCATGTTTGTTGATGGTGCTGCTTGCAGCTAGGGCGTCTGTGCGCTCTGCCAGCATGTCGTCGAAGTCTCGCTGGGCACTGGCCAGATCCTCACCATCCAGGATCTGCAAACCCAACCTGCAGATCGTTTACCGAGGGCAACAGCGGTGAATGATGAGAGACTCCCCTCGAAGGCTGAGCTTCAAAGGCCCCAACAGGAAGCCACGGTCCCGGTACGACTCCAACTGGGTAAGTGTCAGCGCATGACCTTAATAAAGCACTGCATCCGCTGCATGTGGGTGACTGGATAACAACGGTACTCCCTACTCGTCCTGCCTTCGGCAGGGTCTTCAACCAAATCCTTTCTTGCAAGGGTGACCTGCCAGCGCGAGTTGCCTGCATTTGCCTGTAGCCTTCTCGCAGTCGAGTGACAGTTAGGCCAGTGCGTCGCGAAATGCGTACTGCTTCTGCACCTCCAGCTCCTGCGACTATGGTTCCAACTGCCGCGGACGCCGAAGATCACCCCCATCCACAGACATCCACAAACAACTGTCCGCCTCCGGGTGATCCCACATCCGAGATCTTTCTGGCAACTGGTCAAGCACTTGGCGTGGCCATGAAAGCCTCAGCCAGAGACAGCGCAGCTCCATCCCTCCGCAGCGTGCCACAGTGAGTCCGGCACTTTGAATGCAGCTGCTCAAGCTGGAAGGCCAGAGCGTCCTGTCGCGGCAGGAACGTCATGCTGGTCTTTTGGAGTCCCTGATCACAGGTCGTCTTTTGAATCCTCGTACCCCAAAAAAGTCGCAATTGATTTTGCAAGGACTTTGTTCAGAGTGTCCACATAGTCCGTGTTGTGAGAGTGATGATTTACCCTCTCAGCTTCTGTCAAAATCAAGCCAAAAGAGCCGCGGCCCAAACGCCAGGTGCAAATTTCCCGGGTGCCTCCCTTGTTGAAAAGCAGCTCAGAACCTGCAAAGCTTCGCAGCCCATGTTCTGAAACAGCAGTGGCAGCAGAGGTCTCACCTCCTCTCCGGCAAGATGAAGACGGACCACGTGAATTGAAGCATCGCAGCTTCTCGCCTGGCCGTACTAGCGAACTGCACTGCTGGAGGGGAGGATATCGGGAGGGATGAAACCTCCCAAACGCCCCAGCGATCATCGAGCGCAATTTGGTCAGGTCTTCGGTCCTGATGGCTGCCGGAGCTCTAGTTTCAGCATCGATTTGCGACTCCTAGGGCCGAGCCTCCTCCACAGCTGGAAGCGACCTTGTTGCAACAGACACGCACGTCTCTCTTTCAGACGACTATCCTGAGCACCAGACACCTTGTAGTCCCTGGCGCTGCCAAGACCCAGACAAGGCATTGCTCAATCAGGCGACGTCTGCATCAAATGCTATCACTATATCACTTATGTTTGCATCTAGGCCTTGCTTGTTCCGTCATAATGCCTTGTGGTTTTGTGTGTATGTGTGTCTGTGTGAAACTGACGGCTTCTGCAAGTTTACATAGTTGACATATCATCATCTGAGCCAAGATCTTGCTCCTCTGCATCACTCTTGACACGACTCTATTCCGGGTCTGCTGACACCTGCGCAGGACCGGAGTTGTCCCATTTTCAGGTGCATGAGGTAGTCCGGACGGTACATTCTGTTGAATTCAGTTGCACTGAATTTAGAAGATCCTGAAGGGGTCAGTGTAGTTCGGCGACGCTTCAGGAGCTTCTTCTGTGGATAAAAAACTCAAACTAAGTTAAGACCCTAATGCAAGCATATGTCCTGTCACAGGAGCAGAAACTCGCCTGTGAGATCCTCAAGGCTGTCTAGCTCCAGCAGCGCTGCGCCTGCGAGCGATGGCTGTACCGCAGTAGTAGAACAGAGTATGCTGGCTTAACACCGGCGAGAACTTGTCACCATGAAAGTAAAGGAACATGTCAGCCTGAAAAGAAGCCTTCGCATCCCTGCAAACAACACCAGGGTGTCGCAGTGTCGCTCAAGAGAAGTCGAAATACGGTTGTTCCTGTTGTCTGAGACGAACTAATGCTACAACTACATTGTGTTGCGACCTCCAATCCCACCAGGGGCAAAACATCGGCTACTGCCAAGCAACCCGATGTCGAAAGATATTCTGCACTATGCGTGACGACAGATGAAGCTCGTCTTGTACGTGCTGGCCCCTGTGCACATCGTCATTTTCTGTGCGAGTGCATGAGGGATTCCATATAGTTGACTGAGCTTCCGTTCGCACCAAGTCTGCATGCAGTGGCGTGACAGGCCGCTAGTGGACTAAACAAGAACCCTGCACAGACTTTCCCTGCGATCGGATGTCCTTTTTTCTTTCTTTGCACAAGACATGCGACATGCAGCAAAGACTGCAACGTTCCTGACGACACGGATACTGATATTGTTGATGGTGTTTGTGTCTTGAGCAGAGCTTCTGGTGTCAAGTCAGAACCGCAGCCAGCCGCAGTCCAGACAGGTGGAGTTGTAGCGGTTTTAACGCATGCAAGGCACCGGTATACGTTCGGCCGAACGCACTGAACATGTAAAGCTGACCCGGCAAATCCTGTGCTTGCTTAATTGATGTAGCATCAAAGGTGACTGACAACGTGGGACGTTGGAGGAGCACCTGAATGCCGAGCAGTTGGAACATGTGATTTCTCTCCCAATACTCAACGTGATCAAAGGTGCACAAGTAATCGAGTCCCGCGACTGGATTTAGATTCAGAGCTTGCTGTGCTATTGGGACTTGGAGGACCGCCTCGTCTCGAAAACGAAATCAGGGGTTTCACACCGGTGTCTTGATCCGCCACAGAATGCCACAGACAGCCAGCCTCAAGCGAGGTCAGCAGAAGTCAGCCTTCGCAAAAGTGCAGCTCGGGTTGGGCCATGGAGGGATGCACTTGGGATCGGCTCGGCTCTCATCGGCTCTCGATGCAAAAGACTGGAGCGTCGACCGAGCTCTAGCGGTCCCCTCCGCCTAGCCTTCCATGTCCAGGTCGAGCTCCATCTTGAATGGTGAGATGGACCTTATCCAAGCTTCCAACAAGAAAACCGATCCGCTGCGAGGGCCGCGGCGAAATCGAGAGCCCTGCGGTGGAGAGGGCATACAGAAGGAGTCATCCTGCTCAGCTGCCATCTCTTCGGACATCCCTGGTTCCTTCTCTGGCCCTGGCCCTGGCCTTGATCCTTTCAGGAGTTAGCCTGCCGGACCATTCCTCTGGAAGAGCGTTACCGGCGAAGAAGTGCGGCCCTACAAGAACACTGGTCCTCCACCATGGGAATCGGAGGAAACGAGGCACAATGGTCCAGCCACTGTGCCTCTCCAATGCGCTCCCCGCGAATCGTGAGTTTCTGCGTTGCCAGTCTTCGGAGTCAGGCCTCCAAGTCCGCAAGCTCCATGGCCTTGCCGAGGCCTTCTGCCTCGGTCTGTATCCCCGGCACCCCTTCTCAAGAAAAAGTTCCCTCGAAAACCTTCGCCTGGTGCCTGGGCAGCTGGCCAGGATTCGTGGATCTCCAGGTCCGCCCTGGCCAGCAGAGAGAAGCCATCATGAGAAGGGTTCATTCATGATGCCGTGATGAAGGGGTCCCGGCCTCCCACAGTGGTTGCCAGAAGCTGCCCTGTTCCTGCGAGGAAACATCTGGCTGGCTCCTGGATGCCTGGTGCATAGCAGCCCTACTAATCTACTACGTCCTCCGTAAGGTCGGCATGATCCACGTCTGGAAGATCTCCCTTCACCGGCAGAATATTATTCAGTGAGGACATTCGTGGAAAGGCACACTCCGAGCCGAAGCAAAACTGGCAACCACAAGCCGCAGTTGGCTCAGGCACCTCATCGATGCCAGTCCTGTTTCTTGGCAGCCTGCAATCGGCAACCGCAACAAAGCTCGTCGACCAAGACTGTCAGCATTGATTGTGCAATGGTCTCGTCGAAAGCTGAACGAGTGCTCCTTACCAAGTTTCGGAGGTCCTGCACTATCAGCATTACGTCCTAGGCAGCGACCTGCACGGGAGCTTTAACGGAGCTGTGCCCGAGCTGTAACGGAGCAGCTGTAACGGAACCGTAGCGGAGCTGTAACGGAGATGCAACGGGAGCTGTAACGGAAAGCAGGAGCTGCAACGGAGCTGTATCGGAACAGGAGCTGTAACGTAGCTGTCTGATGCTGTCCGTAACGGAGCCGTGATGGGAGCAGCAACGTAGCGGGAGCTGTAACGCGAGCTGTAGAACGAGAGGTGCAACATCCTGTACGGGAAGTTATTTTAAGGGTTTGTTAGGCTGTTACGACCCCCAAAACCCTTGGCAAAAAGGTTTGGTAGAGACACCCCAAATCTAAACTGGCTCGGTCGCACCACGGCCACACAACTGGAGCAGACCGGGATCCTAGCATCCTCGGTGCTGAGAAGGGATCTCGAAGCGAGGGGCGGGCTTTGTTGACCTCTCCGACAAAAAATGAAAAGCAAAGAACCGCAACACCTCGCACGCAGCACGAGCATGACGTGGCTCCCGGCAGCGACTGTCCCACCAGAATCGTTTTCGCCTGCCGTTACGACGGAGGGTTTGACAGGCTGCAATCACGCCAACATCCCTGAAACTGAGAGTAGCTGCACCTCCAACGAAAACTTCGAATGGTCGTCGTCGCGGGGTCTGAGGTGGTACTCGCGATTCGTGGAAGGGCTTCCTCCGTCCGTGTGTTCGCCCATGGATCCCTGCTGTTGGACCGCAACACTCTCTGGCACAAAGCTAGTGCATACAGATTTCTCAAGTCAAGTAGAATTCAGAGCACTCAAAATGCCACAAAGAGGCTGTCCAGCGTCGCCCTGAGATTTGTGCTATCTCGTGCTCATGACTGGGCAACTGGAGTTGAAGGGGTTTGCTCCCGACAGAACCGAGGCTCCAGCACCTGGCCAATTCCTGTTGGACAGGTCGCCCAGCACTCGCCTGCCGATCCGAGGCTTGCACCCGAACGACAGATCGAGAGAGACTGTAATATCAGCCCTGGTACAACATGGCAACGACAGCACCCTCGAAAGCACGGAAATAGTAGGAGTTTATGGCATCACCTCCGCTCGGCCCCCCTCTTGCCGGCCAGCCTGATGCCAAGGAGAGCAGTTCTTTTTGCAGCTCAAGGCAGCAAGGATTAGTTCATGTTGGATGCCATTGCCGTCCGAGCGGTCAGATCTCGGGGAGCTGAGGAGCCAGCTTGCCACTCGCAGGCACCTGCAAGGTGGGAACAAGCGAAACCATCTCGAACAGAGTTTCGGGGCTCGTGCTTCCTGGAGGGCGGGCAATGAACTCGAGTCAGCCTGTGCATGCTCGAACGGACCTGCATTCACATCAATGACCGAAAGGACAACTCGGAGTGCTGCCAGCAAAGGCGGCCGCTGCGCCATTGCCTTGGGAACTGTACGAGTGCATCAGGTCAAGTCTTCGAGATCCCAAGCCATTCTGGACTTGTCGTCGTGGTTTAAGCGTTGTCGCAGTTAGGCCGGGCCGTGTTGGCATCTTGGGCTCTTGGGCTCTCGGGCTCTGGCCAGTCCGTCCCAACTCCACCAGCGCTCGTATCAGCTCACAGTTCACAGGACACAAAGCCGTAGCGACTCCCTGCAGCCCCTATCAGCTCCTCTCTTAGGATCTGTGTGAAAAGCCGTCTATGCCATGTCATGACAGTCTATGATGCCTGCACGGCACTGCTCCAAATCTCAAAGTCGAGTCAATAGTCGCGCCTAGACCACGTGGACTTCTAGCACTCTAGCAACGCAAACACAACAGTTGGCTCAGCTGCCATCTATCCTCCGGCAGTGCTCAGGCAGTGCAAATTCGATGACTTTTCTGTCAACTCAGTCGACGCGATTTGGCACTGCAGCAGACGTTGGCTGCGATCTGCGTCGACCGTGAGCACCGTCTGGCCGATTAATGCTGAGCTCCGCCGGCAGAGATGGCATCCAGCATCGAAGGAGGCGCAAGGCGGCCGCTGTTATTCAGCTTTCGTCTGACCTTGCTCTCTTCTTGCTGCGGTCTTTGTCCTTCTCCTTGTCCTTGTCCCTTTTTTCTTTCTGATTCTTATCCTTTGCCTTCTCCTTATCCTTTCCTCTGTCTTTTTCTCTGTCCGCATCTCGCCGTTTCCGATCCTTGTCTTTATTACCTTTGTCTTTCTCGTTGTTTGTGTCCTTTTCTTTGTCCTTTGCTTTGTCGGTATCCTTACTCTTCTCCTTGTCCTTCCTCTCACGCTGCTTGTCTTTGCTTTTGACTATCTCAGAGTCCTTCACCTTTTGCTCTGCACTGCTGCTACTGCTGCTGCTGCTTTTGCCGTCGTCCGCGTCTTCATCAGGCTTGCTTTCGTCCTCTTTGAAGCTCTCCCGCAAGACATCCTGCAGACGATGTGGCGAAAAGCTGAAACTGCAAGATGGGTGAACTGGAACTCTCCTTCGTCTTGTCCTTCTTGCTCTCAGCGGGAGGTGGCCTTAGTGAGTTCAATCGATTTCGTGCACGGATCCATCAGGACTGGCGCTGAACCCAAACACTAGTTACTCACTCTTTAGTCCCCCGACCCCAGAAGCCATTTCTGACCGTTGTCGGGCTGTCGGTTCTCCGCTCTGTGTTGCAGGACCCTGGGATCTCAGGCAAAGCTGTGCGGAGCAAGCTTCACTAGCCTCACTAGCCAGTCTACGTAATGCTGCAGTTAGCCTAGGATGCAGGCGAGCCAGGCAAGTGCCGGCGAAGGAGTGGGTTGATTAGAGGATATCAAGAATTCCAGACCTGATCATGCAACTGGCCTGTGATTCCTGTGCAAGAGCGTGGCACGCCAAGCCGGGGCCCGGCTTGCGACTTCCTGAAAAGGAAGAGTCTTTAGCGGATTCTAGCGGGATGCCGGAGCTGAAGGACCTGTGCCACTAGGCTTTGATGCCAACGTGAAAGTCTCAAGGCGAGCGCTGCGATGCCACGAAGCTTCAGACTCTTCTTGGCTGGTGGTTTGATCTCGGTGCTCTTCGTGGCCGAGCTGTGACATGCGCTGCAAGGTGCACGTCCGCGGTGCTCCTGCGATATCGGTTTCAATGTCGAAGGTACACGTCAAGCGGCGTTTCCACAACACGCGTGGCCGAGGATTGGAGTGGACCGACCGTGTCTTGGCACAACGTAGCGCCCCTTCCAAGCCTCCAAGCGCAAGGTTCCTGTACATGTGGACGAAGCTGATAACAAAATGACGCAGATGCGGCAGGCTTTAGCGTTTTTGCTTTGGCTTGTTCATTTGGGCAGCTGCTGCATGCCCCTATCGCACCTACTTGCCTGCTATTTGTAAAGTTCTGTTGGCACCCACATATCGTGCCCTGGCGCGAATTCGCTGCACCACCCTCGCCTTGTCGAACGAAACGGAGGTATCAAGAAATACCAATATTCACAGTACATAAAAATGCCCTAACGTCTCTTGGTGCATTTCGTTGGGAAGCAGGCATGAACAGTCAAGGCCGAGATGCGGAGGTCCACGGACTCGCAACTGGAACTTGCTGCGGCTTTGCATGAGCTCACGGCAAAGGTCAACCATGGCCTGGCCAGAAATATCTTCAGACAGAAGACATAGCCGAATCGACTCAGATGCGCCTGAGCATCGTGTGCAAAACCGTTGACGGCCACAATCCGATCACCAGCATGGACAGACAGATGAGCTGGATGCCTGGGAAAGTCGAGGGGAACACCCCTGAGCCAATGAAATGCATCTTAAGCGCCCCCAGTGCACTCTCGTAGAAGAAAGGTAAACCATGGACCAGGCTGCCGAGCGTCTTCCTGTTCCACTCTTCAACTGCACCTGCCTGCAAATGTCTCACATACAAAGATTTGCCACTTGCACAATCCACGTCCAAGCCGAGCTGAGAGTGGAAAGCCATGTCCACCGTGACCTTGACAGTTCAGAATGCACACATGGACGAACAAAATGCCGTGTGACTAAGTCCAAAGGCGCAGCACACACCCCAGCAGACAGCCGAGTTCGTCGCGTTGAAGTCGAAGAACTTCGGGCTCTGCTTCGTTTTTCCTCGCGGTGCTGAGTGTTCAATTGCCAGCTAAGGCCTCAACTCAAGCCTTTCTCAACGTACGGCTGCAAAGCCGATGCCCGTTATTCTCACAAAGCGTCCCCCATCTTCTGAGGACGGCAATGCTGCTAGCGAGGTCTGAACGGCAGACGCTATGCTCGAAGCCACTTTCTTCACTGCCTTGGATACATGGCCACATGCTGCACTCACAAGTAGCTTTCGCGGCTCGACTCCGACTCCACCAAGTCCGAGGCGAGGAAGGAGGAAAACAAGAGGTTTCCAAAAAGATCGCCTTCGATAACAACTCTGCCTCTGCAGCAACTGAGCTGCATCGTTGGATCCTGTTCTGACCAGCAAGGAAAGTTGCTTCTCTTTCTTGCACACGCCCAGCATGGCCTTGTCACGGCGAGGGGCGGGGTGGAGGGGCCAGAGCAGCGGCCAGAGCCCCTGACAGGTCGGGCCTTGCCTTGGGGTCGCCAGTCTTTCCATTGATCGAAATGATCCGATCCCCGGCAGCCACCGCATTGGCCGCTTGCTTCTTGTTCCAGGAAGGCACCGCGCCTTCCGCCTGCCAGACAAGTGCGTTTGAAACACACACCCCCGGTCCCCCACATATCTCCCACCTTGACACTCTTGATGAAAAGAGTCTTTCCATCTGCCCAGTCAACTTCCAGGCCCAGGCCAGCGACCTTCGTCAGGTCCAGTTCCACCACAAACTCCGCCTTCGCAAGACACGCACGAACTTTTCAAGCCGTTAATTCACAGACTTGCAGCACGTCGCTTCCTGAAAATAGCCATGGGCCATGATGTCTGAGCTCTGTGCAGGTCTCTCCGACTTGGCCTGCGGAGCCATGGCATCTTGGCTGCCTAGTTGTGGTAAAGATGGTTGCAACTGTGACACTTGGCAGACTGCCTAGGCAGCTGGAATGTACGAGCATATCTTGAACAAGTCTATGCAAGCGGCGAATAATGGCAAGTAGACATTGCGTATATCGGTACAGCAAACATGCTCGTTTGAGCCATCACGTTCAATAACTTGTGACACTTGGCTCAGATAATGAACTCGTAGGCAAACGGCTTTGAGGAATTACCTGACTTGTTGTTTTCGCCTGCATTCGCAAACGCTTGTCTCCGGCATCTGTACAGTCGAGACAGTGGGGCCACCCAGACGGTCGGTCATGACAAGCTACTATAGCATGGCTTCGGTGACAGGGATACTCGGGTGCACAAGAATGGATCTCGCATCCATCGACGTTTGCCAAAACGCCGATACAAAAGGGGTTACGAGCTACCCCTTCGCCACCCGCGCAGGTGACACTCCGAAATGTGGTGAAACAGTGTTCCAATTTCGTTTTCGTTAACAAGCTCCGACTTGTCCAGCGTATCTGTATTTGCTCGTTCAAGTCGTGGCATGGCTTTAACAAAAAGCAAGGGGAAATGCCTTTGACGCCGGACGAGCAGAGAAACCTCTCGAGATGGCAGCTTCATGCCTCAAGAATCTAGGTGTCAGGCAAATTCAAAAGCTCACCGTGGATTGGTCATTTGAGGCGCCCGAGGAGGCCCGCTTCGGTCGCGGTCTGAGGTGTACATGCTATATTGCTCGAGCTCCCACAACACTCGCGGCCCTCGATAAGGACGGCACACAGGTCGAGGTTTCAGCGCCTGGGCCTTGCAAGATCCGCTGGGATGCAATCCTGTTCTAAGCCCTTCTGCACGATGATGAGGATATGACGTATCGTCTTTCAAGACGATGCTGGCGCAGCTCGATCGCCTTGGATCGTGGAAGAATGCCACTGGCTGGGAAGAAAAGTCGAGTGTCTCAGTTGCACACTGCACCACCCATTGCAGTCGCTGCTGTTGCGATGCCTGGCGCCAAGGTCAACTGAGATGTGTCTCCGAAAAGACTGTGATGAAGGATGCTGGATCTCTGTACTCCCACTCCATTTGCCTAAAAACACCAGAGGAGGAAGCTCCCACGAAGCTTCCGAGCACCTTGGCAGCACAGGCGAATGTCATCGAATGTCTAAGGCCAGTGCAGACGGGAGCACCATCACGAAGGACAGTGCGAATGCACAGGCGGTGCTGTGCTGCGAAACATCGCAAGACATGCTTCGTCGATGTGCCAACAGGTCCCGTCGACAACAGCAACTGTCCGTTGTAACGACCCACACGAAGAGCACATCGTGGCTAAGGACAGGAGATGGTCCTGAGGTCCCCAACCACAGGTAGCCTTCGGGAGGCATGCGCACCAAAGTACCATCCTTGCGGGGTGGGTAAGGGCGGATAGCTGAACGATGCACGAACACTTGTGCAAACACGACCTGACAAGGTCGCAAGGCCGGAACCATATGCGACTAGCGAGTCCCCAATTCTGCGTTGAAGCTTTTGTCAACACTCCCGGCCTCGCAGGCCAAAGTCAAGTCCACGGCGCGGAAGATGTCGGATCCAAGCTGTCGAAGCAGAAGCGAGAAGACTGACATTGGAGCAGCCCCCTACATAACTGGTCGTGGAGAGCTTTGAGCATCTGATTGCGCCACTTCGTCTTTCGAGGATGTGCAAACTAGGATATTAGAGTCGTTAAAGCAACTGCATGCCGACACGCCAGTGCAGCCGCCTGGGCACCGAAGCCCGCATTGCAAGCCAAACTGCAAGTTAGGCCGTCTGGTAGCAAAGAGGAGTTTGCGGTCGTTTCGCCTGAGTCAGAGAAAGCGTCCTTCGAATGGTGAAGACCGCGGAAAAGCAGCAGAGGGCGAAGCAGCTGCCCATTTTGAGCTTGTAGGCTTCTGGGCCTGCCCAATAAGCGACTCCGGTCTCCCATGGCTTCTTGCATTCTCCGTGATGCCAGCCTGTGAGATTTGACAGAAGGTCACTCACGTTGCAGGGTTCTGCCGGTCGACAGTACTGCAATCCTCGGCTTGCAAAGCATGGGCGGTCGGATGCACACGCACCTACCTGTTCGATCCGTGCACCCTGGTAAGATCTCCTGAGCTTTGCACGCTCGTCCTCTGAAGCTGGCTCTCTCACAAATCCCTGCCAGCATCTGCAGTCCTGGACGACAAGATACTGATGCTGCATCTGCTGAACCCGACAGAAACCCAAACCATGCAGTCAAAGACCGGAATTAGCACACATGCAGGTCTCTCATGACAGACTTGATTTAACATATAGCAAGCAGCGAGCGACTCAGGCCGAAAAGACCACGAAGTCCTCGTGCCGGTGTCTGTGGAAACCAACAACGCCGGAATTGTTTGGGCAAGGAAGGCATGACCTCATTCAACGAACAAACACAGACGAACGAGCTGATTCGGCGATTGGGTCCCAGGTCTGCAGCAGCAACTTGTTGCTTGCATCCCGCAGCTCGTAGTACGTGTCCTCAGCGCAGCTCCAGCTGTGACGTGCAGATGCACCGCAACCAATCCAAGTAGGTGCCACGCGTGACACATGCAGGCTTCGGCAGACGTCCTGGCACAACGTGCACAGTGTCGACGTGGAAAGCTTGTCGAGTCTACTTAATATCGGCTCAGGGAACCTGCCAGTCTCGTTCGTTTGAGACCCCGGAGGACATCTCGCACATGGCCAAGGGCCTTTCGAGCCAATCCGGCACTGGATTCCAGCACTTCGCGCATAGCTACAGACAAGAAGTTTGAGAGACTGCTACTGTACCAGCCTTGACCCGATTTGTATGTCGAGAGTGGACATGGCCTGGGTTGCTGTGGCACGGGAGAAGTTTCACTCACCGATAGCTCCCCTGTCAGTCTAACAGCATCTGCAACAGATGCTTGAGTAGCCCGTCTCGAAGTGAAGATTTCCTCATTCAGTTCCTAGTGAATCTGCTCATCAGCTAGACTTGTATCGTTGTACAGAACGGCTCTCTGCGACAGCAGCTCTCAAGTACCGTTGGACCTGACCGGTCTCCTGACAGTAGCCCCTCAGAATAGACGGGGTTTTTCCTCAGCCCTTGTTGAGTACGTACATAAATCATCTCTAGCCATTGAAGGTTGCGCAGCCTGCTCTGCCAGCTTCACTCCAACCGAACATTTCCTTGCTTGCTGCAGCATCTTGAAACAAAGTTTCAGCATCCGGCACACATGTAGCCGGCGAATCGGTGCTGACCTGCACAGCAGCACTTCTGCTAATTCTGACATACCAGCAGCAGCTGACATTGTCTCGTTGTTATGCGTCATGCCGCCATGCCTGATGCCCAGCCGGACATGGCCACCCTCCAGGAGGTATGCCTGGTCTCGAACATACCAAGGAAACCAGCATGCCACCTGCTTTGCAACTATCACATTCGGGTACCAACTGCTTCACTTTGGTGGCCTGTAGGACTCTAGATTGACCCTCGGCCCATCAGTCCACCAACACTTGTCTTCATGGGCTTGTGCTACTTGCTACTACTTGCTGACTGGAGGGTTGTTGCACAGAACCCTGACTCGCTTTATGTCACACAAGGTATGATACAAATGATATGCATGCCAAGGCTTCGAGGGGGTGCCCGATCACTTCTGTCTT